ATTTGCGCAGGGCGTTGCTTTTGAGAAACCCATGTAACGCAGCCGATTTGTCTCGGAAGAGGGGGAATAGCCGTGCCAATGACGGAATCTTTCATTATCGTCCGTTTAATCGGAAGCTACGGAGATCTTGGCATAAGTTGACGGCTGGGGCACACGCTTCACGGCTCGGCGTTCGGTTCGGGATACTGCAAATGATCGAAATCCGATCAATTCATCTCACCTCATTTCTAGGCAGAATAATTCAAGTGTAATTTCGTGTCTACCTTGATGGCTCACTACAGGCCTCGTGCTACCCCAGAAGAAGCAGGCAATGCTAGGTAGTTCAGGTGACTGCTTTCGGACGATATGAAGGACGTCAACAAGGCCGACATGGAGACCAAGTACTAACCACCTTTATTTCTAACGAACCATTCGAGTTCGCAGCCTCCTGGAACGTGTAAATTTTTACATTTTACGGCACATATAACCTTCTTTCTACTTCATTTGAACGGCTTTAATCACGTTATATCATTAAATGCTCAAATATCATCGTCGCGTCTCAGACCTGTGGCTGTCCCCAGAGGATATGGTTGACCAGTGGCCAAAGCGGAAAACCACACACTAACATTCTACAACTTGATGAGTCACTTGACTTGAAGCTCTTAATACTTTTTCTGAGTCTTCATCGCACTATTCTGATAACCAGACTTTATCCGCGCCGTCGGGAAGACAACCGTTTGACCAAACCGCCGTACAACTACAAGTACTGCCCGTTATCAAAGCGATGTTCCGAAATGGAATCCATATTGGATGATGCGGTCCTCTGGTGGCTACCGGCCGGCCCCGACTGCGGCTTCTCCGTACTTCCTGTGCTCTGGGGCGAGATAAACGGCAAGGAAGGCGTTTCGCTCCCTCGCTGACTCCCGTCCGCACCGTAGTCGCTGGGCGGATAGTTCTCGAAGGGTGTGTGCTGGATCGAATCCATCCTGTTCACACCACCGTTGCCCGTCTCCGCTGAAAGCTCGACCTTGTATGCTGACTCGCCGTGGAGCTCGGGCTTGTGTCGGAGCCACCCGTACTGCGCGTTCTGCGAGTCGGGGCTGTACATAGGGGGCGGCGAGCGCTGCTGCATTGGTCCGCTTGGGTCATGGGCTGCGTCGGGAGAGAGCTCCGAGGGTGACTGTTGCGATTGATGTTGCTGCTGCTGCTCCTCCTGCTGCTCAGACCTCGTCTTTTTTCGTCGTAGGAACCAAAATATGAAAATTGTCGCTGCTATTAGTGGCACTCCAACACCGACACCGACACCGATGCCGGCTTTGGCCCCTGTTGAGAGCCCCCGGGATCCCGAACTATACGAGGATGCTGGCGCTGTCGGGAGCGCTGTTGGATTGAATGAGATCGTCCCGCCGGCTGTCGTTGGGAGGAGTGCAATTTGGTTTAATGTAGGCTGTCCGCTCGCCGGGTTCGAGATCAGGGCCGATGCAGCGTTGCAGGTGCAGTCTTCGTGCTTGATCATGACTTCGTCCTTATGATGGGCACACCCTGAGAATAAGTCGATGTCATCCCCATCACATCTCGCCAACGCCACCCATTGCTGGTCGGGATATCCTGCCTTATGCGGGCATTTTGATGACGAGTAGGTCGCATCCGTACATCCGGTAATGTATGTCACGGATGCTGTTGTTCTAGTCAGCTTCAATCAAGGTACATGTATTCGTAGCACGATGCATAGTCGTTTCAACCTACTATCATTATCGTAGCATACGTTCGTAGACAAGCAGAAGTCCCCTTGGAAACAGCAAGCCTGGGTCCCCGCGACGGCTGAATTGCCGCAAGGAATAAAACGCGGGTCAGATATCTGCCCTTCTCCGTAAAAGCATTCCCCAACCGAGATATAGAGATCAGCATCGCTCATGATGACTTTAGAATTCCTATCTTCTCTTTTCGTAGAATAAAAGGGGAGAAGGCAATATCTGGTAGAAGAGCATCTATAAACGGGAAGAAGAGATAAGGAGGGAAGAGGAGGGGACAAGGCGCTGTGGCAACTCTGCCATCATAATAGCTGGGCCTTACACATGAAGGCAAGGTGAGCCCATCAATGAGATGTATGGTAAGACGGTGACCTAAGAAGCTATTTGCTTACGCCGTATAACGCCGATATGTGTCGTTAGTCGAGTTCGCATTACCTATTTGCAGTGTGCCACGATTTCATTAGGAAAAGATCTCCTCCCGAAGGCACCCCCTCATGATGGGATGACAGGCAAAGTTGATCTGCATATGTTGGGCAACGATATCATTGGCTTAGAATAAGCTAGCTGGCAGCCACGGCCAAGCCTCCTCTGCAATCGAAGTGCGCAACTCCCGACATTTTATGTACTTCCTGAGCGAGAGATTGGCGGAATATCGAACCGCATAGCTTGGTGCTCTCGATGAGGCAATATTAAGACGGTGACAGTAACAATGATGTTGCAGATGGCGGTGATAGCAAGAACAGGGACGGCATATATAAGACACCTGGCCTAAAAAGAGATCCTAAGCCTGCAGCCTCTTGCTAATACCCGATCTCAGTAGTATTCCATGAAGGAATTAAATGCGGATAGTCACTGGATCACTCTGGTGCTTAGTATGGGCAAAGGGCGAGTGCCTCGGGCATAATCTCTAGATATGCTAGTTTTTAAGAACTTGACAGTATTCTGCAACAGGTTATATGTTCACAGCGAGAATCATCAACTGAATGACAAAGCGGGGAAATGCATCAGCCTTGCGAGAGTCAAGTACAATGTAGTATTTTGGAGAGGTATGCACGCTTGAGGGGTAACCTGGTACCAATACTAGACTCACGTCTTGCCTGCAGGTGATATCTTATACTGTATCGTTACGACTAGAGCTCGTCTGGCTGGTGCCTTTTAGCTGGCGTTGATAATACCCTGAAAATAGGATACTCGTCGCCTGTTTGGACGGGTATAAGATTAAATCGTACGTATGAATCAATATTCTCTGGCTCGAGGGTGACAAAAGCTAGCGCTGCGTTCTTCTGTCTCGTGCTGACGCGAAAGCTCCCGACTGGGAGGTGTACTTCTCTTTGGTATGGTTCAGTGGTCACCGTGACTTGAATTGCGCCCTCGTAATAAGCCCGTGCTGGAGATGCCGACGTGATCCTGAACGCTTCGACTGTCCCGCGATATTCATAGTCGAGAGTTTCAACAATGACGCCGGACTCCTTGAGACGCATGGCAAGGTCTGACCACGTTCGCGGAATCAAGTACGCTTCTGGGCGCGGTCTAGTCAGATTCGCAATCGTTGGTGTCGTGCTGAGCCAATTAGTAGGGAGTTGTACCAAACTGCCATTTTTCACGTCAATGAACGAAACAAAGCGGCTTGTGGCATTCTGATAGTCGGTAATGATAATGTCATCATTGCTAGTAATGAACTCCCCGATCGCATTTTCAACCTATACTGGGTAAGTAGGTATCGTACACAGTCACGGCCGAGCAGACACTTACCCTAGAATGAACCTCATCGAAGTTCTCGAGGGCAATATCAAGAATAGCAGATACCATCGTTAACGCTGTTGATACACGCCGCTGGAAGTGTTGATCGGCGAGGCGAATGCCACGGACTTCGTTAAGAATGGCCATAGACTGCATTAGGCCATAGCTATTACGGCCTGCTTTCGCATCACTTCCAGCCTCTGCGAGTGTGATCCCAGGAGCATTGCTGGATGCCGCAGTAAAATATGACTCCCATCGAAAACCAGCGGCTTCAAGTCGCTTCGCAATACCAGGCGCAAAAAGGGTCTCGGAGATATTCCGAATGTCCTTATGTGTGTTCAGATTCTTGCCAGGGGCGATCAGCGCATCCACTGTAATAATCAGTAGATGATATAGTAGGAATGAAATTCTGAACTTTCTTACTGCCGTGCTTATAGTGACCATCTATTAGCCGAGTCCCTGTGAATTCGTGCATATCAACTGTGATGTGGGGTGAGAATGAGCTTAACAGCTGTTTGATGCCGCGGGACTGATGCCGAGCGAGCTTCGTGTGCTCGCGGTTGGGGTCTAGGTTTGAAGCCAAGTCGCGTTGAAAATACGACACGCCATCAGGGTTGTATCGAGGGAACAGGATGATGTCCATCTTCTTGAGAAGTGACTTTGTCCAGGTTTCGTTGGCATCTAACTTCCCAAGCAAAGCCAATACGGCCTGATCTCCAGCCGGCTCATTGCCATGTACTCCTCCTTGAATCCATACGCGAAGCTTTTTGTCCTGCCTATTAGACAGTGCCTGCGAGACTTCCGATAAGTATACATGAGGGAATGAACGTCCTTCTTCAGAAGTAAAGTTGGCTTGGCGGTAGTCAATCCAGTCGTTTCTATCGGAAATTGATTGTAGAAATTTGTCTGACCGGTCCTAGTAAGCTAGTGTCTTCAAGCCGTAAAATGCATTCACACACCGAGTGTTGTATCATCAGTTGGCCCGTCTGTGCCATTGCTGAAGCCATCAAGCACAGTTTGCGGGGTTAGGAAAGCTGGAGAGAGGAGCACGTCATCGGTATCCGGGAAATGGGCGGCAACAAGGTCCTCATCTTTCTCGACAGGAGAATGATTCTCTCCATACTGACTCGCGCTGACTTGCAGGAGCCAGGCTTGAAACAGCGGAAGAATGGCCAACCCAGAGACATTTCGAAGCATCATGGCGACGAGTCATGCTTCTCAAGTTCAGTCGCCCGTTTCGAAGTGTGAGCTGCATGACCAAGTAAACAAACCTCCCACTGTGGCTTGGAAATACGCAACATTGCACGCTAATTGGCTCATGTGGCGGTGCTTTACCAACGACGATAAGTAGGTTATTTGGAGAGGGCTTTCGATCGCATTCGAGCCATACCACCTACCCCAATTTGTTGTTGGTGCATTTATAAGTTGTATCTGGATACATCTCCGGCGACCAAAAAGTCAACTCCCCGGGAAAGGAAAGAATTGGAGAAAGACGACGCCTCCCCCGGACAGGCTTGAACTGTACGACGCCTCCCCCGGACAGGCTTGAACTGTCAACCTCTCGATCATCTGTTAATAACAGTCGAACGCGCTAGCCAATTGCGCCACGGAGGATATTCGATTGGTGTCTTGGTGAGAGAGCGCATCCCTAGGGGCCCTACTTATAGCGGCAAGCCAGAATAGGATGTCAATTAATGAAAATGGCCGTGTTCGATTGCAATACGGCTGCAGGCTGCAAAGACCGTCTAATTCAACCATGATTCCAGGAATACGCAGACCTGTTGCGCTAAGAACTACCTAGGTATGTTAGTTTGGTTGCGATGGAGGTTTGGTGTTTAGCATCTTCTTCGTTGGTTTTAATAGCAGCGAGGTTCGGAGCTACAGAAGACCACTACTCCTGCCTTTTTTTCTTTTGACTCAGGCCGGCTCCGGTCGCCGCCCGACATCTACACCAGCATACAACAAGAGTTCCCTATCGTTGTAACCCCGATTGCTGGCTCAACGTTCGAGTTTTATTTGCGGGGACAGTAAAATGTCGCTGACCAGCGCATCGCCCACAGACGCCGCGAAAGAGGCCAAAGACGCATCCCATATTCTGGCTACTCTACCTACAGCTGCGAGAAACGATGCATTGACAGCCATCCATGGCGCGCTCTCCGAGGCAAGGGACGACATCCTTGCTGCCAATGCGCGAGACCTTGAGGCTGCGCGCCAGGCTGCTAAGAATGGCCAATTGAGTCAGAGCTTGGTGGCGAGGTTGGACCTGGGGAAAAAGGGCAAGTGGGAGGATATGCTGAAGGGGATTCTGGATGTGCGGGAGCTTGAAGACCCAGGTGCGTCTCATCTGGACATTCTATCCATTAGTGTTTCGAGCTAATTGCTCCGTAGTTGGTAAAATAACCCTGAGAACCAAGCTCGACGATGGCTTGGAATTGACACGGGTTACGTGCCCGATCGGCGTGCTGCTCATCATCTTTGAAGCCCGCCCTGAGGTCATCGCCAACATCGCATCTCTTGCCGTGAAGTCGGGGAATGCGGCGATATTGAAAGGTAACAGCAGCCCACATTGTTATGTCTGTTTAGACGCGGACTCGCTAACTGGAAAATAGGAGGAAAGGAGTCAACCGAGTCATTTATCGCCATCTCCAAAGTCATCTCTACGGCGTTAGAGAAGACCCAGGTTCCTAACAACGCTATCCAGTTGGTCACTACAAGAGATGTCATTCCTCAATTATTGGATCTAGATCAGTTTATTGACCTTGTTATCCCGCGAGGGTCAAACGAACTGGTCCGCTACATCAAGTCCAATACCAAGATCCCAGTCCTAGGACATGCAGACGGCCTTTGTTCTATGTTCCTCGAGGAGTCCGCGGATCCCAAAATGGCTGCCGAGGTGATCGTCGACTCAAAAACGAGCTATCCGGCAGCATGCAACAGCTTAGAAACCCTTCTCGTCCAGCAGTCTGCGATTGAAAGCCATCTTCCTACTGTAGCCGACGCCTTGATCGCGAAGGGAGTAGTACTTCGATGCGACAAGGCGACAAAAAAATCGCTAGCTAGCAACCTGTCGACAGAGTCATCAGCCAAACTAGAAGAAGCGACAGATGCAGACTTCGACACGGAATTCCTTAGCCTGACCCTGGCTGTCAAGGCTGTGGCGGGCATCGACGAGGCAATCGCACACATCAACACCCACGGATCCAAGCACACAGACGCGATTCTGACGTCGTCCTCAGAACTCGCAGAGAAGTTCATGTCGAGCATAGATGCGGCAGGTGTTTATTGGAATGCATCAACGCGCTTTGCTGATGGAATGCGATATGGCTTCGGTACCGAGGTCGGCATCAGCACCAATAAGATCCACTCCAGAGGTCCCGTAGGCTTGGAGGGCTTGATGATATACAAGTATAAGATACGAGGCCAGGGCCATGTCACGGCGGTGTACGGAGAGGGCGAGGGAAAGAAGAGTTTTAAACACGAGATATTACCGTTATAAGATGGGCTTCGATATTTATAGTCGTTGTAGAAGGCTAAAAGAAACAAGGTGAAGCTTATACCGATGCTCATAATAGTTGAATTCACGGCAAACCTAGTAGAGTCGACGCGCTGCCTTCGCTACTCTGAACATCTGGGTATGGGCCCGGATGGGGTCATGCGTGCGGAATACGATGGCTACTCGCCGTACTGGTTCTATCTAATTTGAAAGGCATGTTATGAGGATGGGACTAAAGACGTCAGCAGCCAAAAATATCATACAAGCAACAGTGCACGGAACGCTCGTTTATGCGTTTTAAACGCCCTGTGTCTATTTTATCTTCCCTTGTTAAAATTTTAAGTATCGCGCCCACGCCATAGCTAGGTACGACGCCGATATGCTCATATCTTAGGTCAAAGGGCACCACCTGTCTATCAGGCTCGCGTATCACAAGCAAGTCCACAATCTACCCACGATTCACCCACATCAACGTCTCCCCCAACACATGAAGTGTATTGGATATTCGCAGCAGGTTGCCATTTGATATTTCACGAACATGGTCTTGAAATCTACTCGTCGGCATGCGCCCATACCGATATATAATCCTGAACTCGGCCATCTTCTGTCCCACTAGCATGTGTGCGTTTAGGCTTAAGATGCACTAACCTCTTGAGACCACCAGGCGCCACTTGTGCCGTCTTCTCTGCGATAACACCACCGTGCTCGTCCGTCTGCGGTTGAGAATCGGGGTTGGAGAGGTACCCAAGATATTCCGCCGGAGGGGCGGCCCACGGCGGACCGGGCTCGCTCGGTTTCTTCTCCGAGGGAAACTCCAAACAGACCAGCCTGCCGCCAGGGCTAAGCGACGACTTCATTTTCGATGCCCAGGCCGGGCGCATAGGTGGTGGTAAGGCACAGAAGAACTATCAACGGCGCCAGTTGTCAAATGCTAAGAAACGTTTGTAGAACTAGATTATCGTCCGCTTACCGTATAGTCAAAAATAAGGTCAAACGGCATCTGGACGTCCTTCCACTCCTTAGCAAAGAAGTCCTGGCAGATCCAAGTAATAGTGCCTCGTTTGCTCCCCTCTGTTGCGTACAATGGTCCTTCTTTTAGTACCCTTTCGACATTCTCCTTCGCCGCTTCAAGAGCTTGAGAGGAGACGTCCAAGCCATAAACGTCGTATCCGAAAGAACTGAGAAGTAAGACGTCGTGGCCTCTACCGCAACCAGGAACAAGAGCGGTCTTGGGGGAACCCTCGGTCGGCAAAGGGATCACTCCATTTGGGTTCTCTGTGAGTAGGTCGTAGAGTGCCATGCTGGGTCCTCCTCGATCCCAGGGGGTGAATTTGTCCTCCCAACATTTGTCCCATTGAGTAGAATGCTCTTGCGGAGGAATATCCCCAAAAAGTTTCGGTAGCCTAGGCTGCTCGTTCAGACTCGCCATTGTTGCTTTCGGCGAAGTCTTACAGCCTGGCTAGAACTTGATGAGAATGAGAAGGCGTTAATAAGCTGGGGGCGATCGGATTCATTCCAGTTGGCCGTTTATACTAAGACGATAGCGGCTAGGGTGCTGAAGCTAAGCCTTAGCGGAGGTGGCTTCGGCTCTATCCCCGCGTTACCTAACCCATTAACATAAGAGCTTTTCGGGCCATTTACAGCTGCATCCCGCTAAGTGCGTAGGTACTGCAGGTAGCCGCCTTCGTTGGAAAACTTCATCTCTATACCTCCGCTCCGTGTGTTTCTTACTCCAAGCTGTCCTCGCCCTCTGTTTTGTCTACTAATAATAAGCTATACATGGAATTAAAGGAGTGGACTACCGAATGAGCTGTGATCTCTGTTACCGCATCGAGGGCAACATCAATATGGCCAATTCTTCATTAACAGTCGCATGTTTTCTTTCTATTCAGGTCACATTCGAGGGAAGTAAATGCTAACTTGCGAATTCCCCTTGTCCTGGGCAATCGTGGAATTTGGCATTGATATCACTACCTACTCAAGGATCCAGTTTTCCTCACTTCCCATCTTCTCGGATTCGCATCAAGCACTGCTACATCGTTTGCCGTAGTGAAGCACGGCAGGCAAGACGAGATGGGTGGAAAGGCACCACGTGAGGCTTGAATTATAACCGCTCTATCACTTGCGTGCTAGCGCAAGGAGCAGATGCTTCTAACTATCTAATTGTCTACTGTCGAGGGATCGGCGGCCTGGATTTTGTCAACGACCGCAGTGCCCTGGTCAGCCGGGTCTTGCGAGGCTCCCGCAATCGCGTCCAGAGCAGCAGGGAGGTCTGCGATGTTTTGCTCGATTTGCTTAAAGACGGCGTCCAGCTGCTGTATTGTCTCGATTGTCGTGGGATCGTTCTCGCTGGGTGTGACGTCTGTTTGCTGCACCGCGAAGCATCCGCCAAAGTTGTTTGCGTTTCGGCAACGTACCGTACATACGTTACCAGCAGATGCTAATCAAGACCATGTGGTTAACACTCGTTCAGTTCGACCAGAGATACAGGGTTAGGCTGTGGCCGCGAAGTAAAAGGGAGGATAAAGTCAAAAAGCCATACATCCCGTACACGCCAAATCATTTGGCAACGCCACTCTGAGGGTAATGACCCCATTCTTGTTCGCCTCGGCTTCTTTGACATCAAGCTTCGTCTGGCCACTGACACCGATCGAGTTGCCCGTCTGATCCATGTCGCACGTAAATGGACCTGCTCCCGTTTCGTTGACCTGCTGGATGAGCACCGCGACTCGACTGCCGGCTGTTGCTTGTGTGACGTTGCCATCCGCAAGAGCGTTCTCTGTCTGCTCACCGATGTCGATATTTCCTGCCAACAGCGTTCGTCCACATTCGTTGACTACGTTGGTAGAGATTTCGACATCTGAGATGAAATTGGCATCATCCGAAGCACTGGAGTCGACTACGAAAGACGTCAATATTGTGTATCTACGATTCACATAGTGATCGACTGGATTTCCGTGTGAGCTACGGCTGGATCGGCGCATACCTTGCAGTCCTCGGCTTATTGCTGATCCTTTCGCCCCCCGAGCGGCCAAAAGCACGGCTTGTCCATGGGCAATTGCCAATAGGGCCGAGGTGACAATAGCTTGGTTAAGACGCATCGTGACGGAAATAAATGTAAATAGAATATTAAAAAAAGGATTATCTACTGAGAACTGAATCAGGCCGGCTGATGATGAGTCAATCAAAAAGAGTGCGAAGGAGAATGGGAGATAGAATATGGGAAAAGAGAGACTGGGTGCTTTACTTGCAGTCTTCCCTATAAACTCCAAAAATCGCCGCAGCGTCCGCAGCGTCACCAGCGCTTAAGACGTGATCCCACATTTGTCGGCGCTGTGTTGCAAGTTGGTGGACTCGGGTGGAGTTGACCCCCTAAATAGTCCCTGAAACGGCTATAACCAGGTCAAGGTGCTCTGCCGCCCCATGCCGTTGAAACGACAAGCGACACGGGCGTGACATCTTGGCGCCGAGTATTTGGCCATCCGCTCTGACGTATCGTCCCATAGAGGAACTTGATGAAACTGCCTCTTGGTTACAATGTTTTAAGAATGTCAAAGTACTACCATATATGTGCGTTATTCGATTTGAGCGAGAGCCGTGTTCCCACTTCTAGAATGCCATGTTAAGATGGCAGCTATTATCCTAGGTTAGAATATAACCTTGTCAACACGTTGGAGCATATGTCGTTTCGGACGATTAGCTTCCCTTCAACTTTATCCAGTTATCCAGCACTGGTCAAGCCATCTGCTATTGGTTCTGGGTGATAACTAATCGTGTTGTTATGCAAAGTTGCTAGTTTGAATGATGCTCCTTATGTTCCGATATTTCCCTCGCGTTCTTTAAACACAGGTTTCCGCAGATATTATACATACTATAGGTTCATAGTATCTGCCGAGGATAACGTACAAAAACAGGGATAAGGCATCTAATGCCGATACACGTAGCTTCGGATGACATGGGAGAGTCCCCGGAGGCCTTAATTCTTACACCAACTTGAGACTGAGTTGGGTCCTACATATGTTAGTTATACGAGTGCAAGACTCTGTTCGAGGCACCAGCGTCTAAATAAGCTTATCTATACCCGTGTTTATTTGATTCTCTATTGTAGGTATACCGAGACGATTATCTGAGACCGAATCTGGGACCGAAATAGTATAGAAGCACAGCTATTCCACCCAAATAAGGGCCAGGGCCTTCAATAGGTAGGTATGCTCCCATGGCTCCATAGAAAGTTATTGCAGTTTGGATACCTACATTTCCAAACCCTTGTCATATTTATATCTTCATTGGACGTCATTCCAGACCAGCTTAGGGCTAGTGCCAAACCTTGATAGAATTACTCGCCTTTGAGGATTTTCGCCTATGAAAAGATTTCGCACATTTTATAGGGGAGCTTTGGCGATAGCCACAATAGAATGAGACCAAACGAGGGTGATATGTCGACAGAGCCAGGTCCTCTAGGAACGATTTCTATCAAGCAAATAACGTCATCCAAGTTGTGTAGCTTTTATTCACATTTTTGCTTTCCTCTTTCAAGCCCTACGATATACCACAATGCAAGAAACAAGCCAAACCTCGGAATAATATAATATTAGAGATGAGAATCGCGACTATTATTTGATTTCAAGGATTCATTCGGCAGAAGGGGGAAAATAAAGCGCGGAGAAAGAAATAATAAAAGAAAAGAAAATGGAAAAGTTAATGGCCAACGAGGGAATCGAACCCCCGCGCCTAACGATATAGAGTATAGATATAGAGTATTAATACTAACGCTGTATCGCTATGTCGCTATATCGCTGTGTCGCTATATCGCTAGGCCATACCAACTCGGCCACTGGTCTCTAAGGTTAAAATATCTTATATAGTACCCAACGAGAGATGGCCGAGAACCTTAATCCGCGGCTGCAGTACAAGACGCGTCAGAGGATAGACAAAGGTTTCAAGCACGTGATGTAGTCGAGCGGAGACAAGTTATGTAGTGACTCCTCGAGAGAAAATACACAACATAAAGCGTGATTGCTGTAAGCAGATCAGAAAAGAATGCAACATAATCACTAAGAACTACTTGACCTTCCTACTGCCTGCGTTGGATGAATAGAGGAATTTATAGACAGAAAGCTATCATTAAATTGGTGAAATGTATATGATTATACCATAACAGTCTTTCCGCATATGAGGCTCTTGACTTACTATGTAAACAGACTGCTGCCTATTGGCGCAGGCAGGCTGTCTGATGTAAGCACATCTTCCGATTCCCCGCCTTCAAGTATATGAGTCCTAAAGTTGCCTAATTACGCCTACCTAGTCGCGAGCTACAGGATTGAGTGCTCCAGAGCCGCTTCTTTGGACTTTTTTTTGGGGGGGTATCCGTCGCTCCGACTATTTAGTTTAAAAGAATAGGCGGGCGTAAGATCGGGACTTTCTCCATGTAATCAGGTAGTCAGATCGTCAGATGTCAGAGAGCTGATTCGTTTAATGTGTAAGTATGAACCCCGCCTCTGTTGCGGTGGGTTGCAACGCATCCTTTTCGGTGTCGGGTCTCGGACATGGCCGCCCAACATATGAATTAAACGTTGACCCTCATTTTCATGAGATCAAATCTAATCTTTCATTCAATAGTCCGCCTATTCCCTCTGGTCGAAAGCTCCCGTGACAATGTCTAGCTCGACGCAGGCGGCTTCGCCTAAGCCCGAATACCAACATTTTGTTCCACAGTTTATATTAAGGAACTTCGCCCACAAATACACGGGCCCTCAACGTTCAAAGAAGGGAAATAAGAAAAAGAAAGCAGACTCGCTTTTTCGCGGCGAACTCGTCGTTAATAATGTCAATCTCAGAGCAGAGCCCGTCGCCATAGAAGAAACCAAAGTTAGCCGAATCCTTGGGAAGTAGTAAGCAATCTTCGGGGCCATTTTTCTTCTTCTTTGGGCAACTTTCAGAGCATAAGACTTGCTTTCTGGGCCAATATTATGTCTAGGAGTTTCCTAAACCCTGATAAAGCACGTGTGAAGTAACAGTAACTAACCCCGAGTTCTCTAGTGACATGTACCAAGACACATCCCAGCCTACAGGGCAGCAGAGGCATATCGAAACCATGTTCGGCAAGTTGGAGAGTCATGTCAGTACCAGTGAGTAGTAATATGAATTATCTATAGCCTATTACTCTATCACTCAGAAGCGTGAGCCATCACGCTTGCGGCTCGCATACCTCTTCTAGGGGTTTGCATTGCATAGAAGGGTAGGTACTAACGACTACTATTGTAGTCTTCCGCAAGATTGTCAAGGCCTTTGAATCTGGCGACCCAAATGTATGGGTGACACGTGAAGAGCGGAACTCTATCCGCAAGTTCCTTTTCATTCTCAAATATCGCGGTTCAACCTTCTATCGGCGATTCCATCATGAAACCTCAGACATGTACGAAGCCAATGACAAATCGAGGCTGCAAAAGTACATGGAGGAGAATGATTTCAAGCGACCGGTCGACGTCTGGTTTCACGGCCTCAAAACGATTCTGAATTTGAAGATGGACACCGAAAACTGGAAGCAGGAATTGGCTGGCAGCATGTACCCAGACGACGCCATGTGGTTCATCATGCATTCGGAGATGATGTACCTGGCTATATGCACGCCATCTGAACCGGGTGCCGAGTTCATACTAACAGACAATAGCTACAATGTGTTTGAAGGACCAAACACATTTACGAAGAACCCAGCTACCGGTGAATTCCAAGATTCTGGATGGACAAGTTTTCACGAATTCGCTCCCCTATCTCCAAGGTTGATGATAATTTTACGGAGCAACCTACTTCCTGTGCCTGAAGAGGATAGCAATCCAGAAATAAAGGCGGAGAGAGAAAGATGGCTCAAGGGGGCAGTCGATGATTGGTACCAGGTCAGCGTGCAATCAAATCTAGCTGACCTACCTATACACAAAGCACGCAACAACTACAGCCAAGTAGTGAACGACCGTACCCAACTGCTACCAGGAGAAGATGGAACCCGGCTGAAGAAGAGTCACAAGTTCTCCTTCCCATTCTTCCCCATCGACATAGAGCACGTGAACAAAATCAATCATATCCTATTTGACAATACATACAGGTGCGCAAACATCGTCTTCGGTTCGAAGGACAGTTTCTTCAAGACCCTAGAGTGGTACATGACCTGCACTGCCGATTTCGGGAAGAAGATCATAGGCGATTCTCTCGAAGAGCGACGCAAGGTTCTCATGAATCTTGCTGCTCTCATGAAGTCTCTAGGATCGACACAAGAACCAGTGTGGACCGAGGACACAGATCCAACCAAGCCGAACTTTGACCAGATGAGCGCTATAGAACGTTCCTTGCGAAAAGGATTGGCAGATTGGATGCTCTTGAACAAAAAGGAGATAGAGGAGAGTCCCATACGGCCTCGAGGGATGAAATTTGCCTATATGGCTCTCGGTAAGGCTGGCAGACATATTTCCTATGAGTTGCTAGGACACTCTAACGAGTGAATCGTTCACAGGGGGGTCTGATCAAACGTTACTAGAAGACGGTATAAACGCCCAACATATGTTGAAGCGACGAATCAAGATAGATGTCAGGTCTCAAGGTCTACCGGAGGCTGCTCGAGTCGAAGCTCGTGAACGACTCATTGAACAATACCTCACCTATCCTTCAACGGTAGTGCTTTTCTTTGTGAAACAGGTAAGAATAATGGTTCTCTCGCATGGTAATGAAAGGTACCTTCAGAGAGCAAGGGAGGATGCTCAGTCGCAGCCTGAGGGCCCCGAAGACATCATTGCACAGGGTAAGTTTGTATTGTATCCCCGACCGTCCAGCTAATTTGGTGATCTATTTATCAATTCCCGCATTCCAAGATATTACCTCATGTGGTAATAGACTAGCATCGAACAATATCTCTGAATTATGGCTGACCCAGATAGCCCTGCATGATATGATGACGACCGAGAAGATCAATCGACTTATGTATACGACGGTAATGAACGACATTGATCGTGAGAAACATCCGATTCCCGAGCATGAGCTCTGGATGACTCCGACTCAAAGCCTAGAAGGGGCGCTCCGGCTAGGAATGATCGGGAAATATGTGTTTGGTGTTCCCGGTAGGTATCCTCACACTTAGTTCTCGAGAGATGCTAACCAAGAGCAGGCCTACTGAAGGAATGTGGTAAGATACTTGTTACTTATTGTTAGATGACTTATACTCACCAGTTCGTGAAAAGGAATTCCCGAGATCGAGATGCTTGCTTTGAGTCAAGAGGCGACCATCCGACAACACGGTGTCAGCAGGATTAGGGGACTTCCCTATCCCTTCATCGACGATGACGAGAAGATAGAACTTTTGACAAGAGTTATGGTTAAACCCAAGTTCCGGGAAGCCCTTGCTAGCAAAGTAGAGGCTGGCCTGCTACAAGACCTGGAGAAGGTTGTGTTCAAGATGTCCTATCCTACCCCGCCGCTCAAACCCCCCATCTAATATCTCCTTTCGTCGGACTGGGTCTAAGTGGAAATATCAGAGCTATGAAGTTCTAATTTGTTACGATAATGGTGTCAGGCCTTCTTCAACAGAGCTAGGGGCGAACAGTTATTGATTTTTACTCGAAATTGCAACATTCCAGGCTAGGACAACAGAACAACCAGAGGCGGTTTTTTACAAGCTAATAAAGCTATGCAATGAATGCGATGAATTAATTCTGCCAATTGGACCGTAAAGTTTGAGAAATATACCTCTAACCGTAGTGTGCCATAGCACGGCTCATCCTGTCTTCGCAGCCCCATGGGCCTCCAGCTGAGACCATCTCGCGAACCCGTTGTATTCAAAACACCCAATACAGAGAAAAAGAAAAAGCAATGGCTTCATGTGAAACCCAATAGGCAGTGAATCTCTCCCTCGCAAAGGGGAGCAAACAGTATACATATAGTGTGAGGCTAGATAGATCCACACAGCTAAACTTACCTCGGCTCACTGGTTATGTACCAACTCTATGTCGAACAGGAAGGATTCGGCGATGAAGAACTCGACCTGTATAGTAAACATTAAAACACCCAGATTTGCGAATGAGAGCTACCTATCAATCGATCATCTCTAGGATTTACAGAGTGCGGATTACAAGATGGAGGTCAGCAGTCTGTTTGACGTGAAAGTAAGCCATCATATCCGAACGAGTCCCCTGGCCCATTCATACTACATCAACAACAAAAGCCTCTGAACCACAGCATGGCTGGCTAATGACCTAACACAGGGAAAAGTCGCCCTAGTGACAGGAGGTAAGACATCTTGGCACCACACACACACTCTACCGTCACGCGCATCTGACACCTACCAGGCGCCCGAGGTATAGGGCGGATGATATCAGAGGGCTTCGTAGCCAACGGGGCCAAAGTCTACATCGCGTCGCGGGACGCGAAGGCGTGCGAAGCGGCAGCAGCGGAGCTGACGGCGCGGGGCCCGGGGTCGTGCGTCGCGATCCCCGCGGACCTGCTGAAGCTGTCCGAGTGCGAGCGCCTGGCGTCGGAGCTGCGCGCCCGCGAGGGCAAGCTCCACGTGCTCGTCAACAACAGCGGAGTGACCTGGGGCGCGCCGCTCGACTCGTTCCCCGACGCCCAGTGGTCGCGCGTGCTGACGCTCAACCTGCAGCGCGCCTTCACGCTGACGCAGCTGCTGCTGCCGCTCCTCGAGGCCGCCGGCGCCGAGAAGGGGAGCGGGGAGAATCCCGCCGCCGTCATCAACATCGGCTCCGTCAACGGGCTGAGCGTGCCCAATGTCGAGGTTGGTGGCTCTCGATATACATACATACCTGGACACGTGACCCGAGGGCGTGTGATCTTGAGTAGATG